ATACGTCTACGTGGAACAAATATTCGAGTCTTTCTATCAGTTGTTTTCATCGAATGCAGTTCTGGCAGATTGATGGTGTACGCAAAGCACGGCAGTAATCTGAAGGGTTAATATATATCGTTGCTTGGCTGCGGTAGTATCGAAACGCGGGTTAAACGGATAAAACGAGAGGAAGAAAGATAATCAGTCCGAGGTAGAAGATCAAATCCAGTCAACCTCGAGTTGGTATTCTTGGCGGACGAGGTTGCTTTATATGCGCGAAACTAGTCCGCACGCGCCAAATTTCCACGCGTGGTAATTTCTACGCGTAGAATTCCACGCGCCAAATTTCAACGCGTGGAAGTTTGATGCGTAGGAATTCCACGCGCCAAATTTTAATGCGTGGAAATTTGATGCGTAGGAATTCCACGCGTGCAAATTTCTACGCGTGGAGATTCCCTGCGTCAGAATTCAGCGCGTCGAAATTCCACGCATACATATTCACCAAGTGAGAATGCAACGCGTGGAAATTCTACACATAGAGATTCCACGCGTGGAAATCCTACACATGCATATTCAGCAGGTGGTAATCCAGCGCGTGAAAATTCAACACGTTAAAGGTCCACGCATAGGGTTTCTACAATACAAGTTTCAGTATTTGGAGTTTTGGCGCGAGAGAATTCAAAACGTTGGAGATTCGGCGCATAGTAGTTCTGGAGGTAGAGTTTTGGCGCGTGGTAAACCGACGCGTGAGGGTTGACGCGCGAAGATAGGACGCGTTGGGATTCTGCGCGTAGGAATTCTCGTGAATATTCGACGCGTGGGGACATTACACAAGCCCTTGAGAATATAAAACATGGATTTCGTTGTCCGAAGGTAAGCATTACTAATACATTGCACAGTGATGACACTGGGATGGGATTCTAAAGATGACATTAGGATAGGTCCTCTCAAATTTTAATATCATTTACTAAAGTTCACTGTCGAGACTTAAAATCATATGTACCTACTATTATAAATACGTACGAAGCGTCCTGCATAATTTCATTGTAATGAGTAACATGTATCTGAATCATCCCCTATTAACCCTTATTAACCCCTCACAGGAGGGTTCAAATCCAACCATACCATTAATCGTTTTAAATTGCCAGCTCATATTTCTACATGCCATAATCGCAGTACTCTAAACAACAAAATTCTGTATGGACTTATTTCTTAAACCCGTGTGTGTAAGACATATGTACACATATGTACATGTACATATGTACAATGCATATATTCATCGATCACAGCGATACGTCTACGTGGAACAAATATTCGAGTCTTTCTATCAGTTGTTTTCATCGAATGCAGTTCTGGCAGATTGATGGTGTACGCAAAGCACGGCAGTAATCTGAAGGGTTAATATATATCGTTGCTTGGCTGCGGTAGTATCGAAACGCGGGTTAAACGGATAAAACGAGAGGAAGAAAGATAATCAGTCCGAGGTAGAAGATCAAATCCAGTCAACCTCGAGTTGGTATTCTTGGCGGACGAGGTTGCTTTATATGCGCGAAACTAGTCCGCTTATGGATGCAAATGCGTGCCGAGCTCGAAGCGTGCGGACAACGAAATGTTCTCGTCGGCTTTCCAACATATTTTGCTTCACGGAATTGCATTATAATTGTTCCGCGAAAATTCACCGTGTAAACAGCATTGATAAAGCGGCTTTTCCCTCGCGTAAAAATAATGCACGGCTGAGTATAACCGGCGCGTCGTGTGTCATCATCCCTCGTCCCGCTTAAAAACGACGCACGTTCGTGTCCCCGTGTTTTATTCTTTTTTTTAACACGACCCGGGAAACCGTGATTTATTTTCGGCAAAAAGCGACCCGGCTCGAAACGAGAACTATGCGAGCGTCGAAAACCGTATCGCGGGACTGCCGAGGGTTGATATCCTGCGAAACGTGTTTAACGCACTCGCTGTCCCAGCTGAAATTCTCATATTCAGCGAGTCGAGCGTTAAAACTACTTACAGATATTCACGTTTTGGGATTTTATCCTTTTTTGTTCTTTTCAAATTTTTTGGAAGAATTGTTTTGAAATCGATTTTTCGAAGATTCAATTTACAACCTTGCTATATCGTAAATCCTACCCCTTTCTAAACTTCCTACATCCTCAAACCTGAAAATACCCAAGTGTAAATTTGTAAAGTCCCAAAATACAAGAAAATATAACTCCATGAGTCAGTTACGTCAGAGGAGCAAAAATGGCGGGTAACAACCCTTGAACCGAGCTTCACCTGGCGTTTTCCCGACCTTTCCTCGGAGGACAATAACCGCGGCTATTAGCGTCGATTTTTTTGCTAGATGGCGGAAAATTGACGTACACGTGGTAGGCGTGACCGCAGCGTGGAGCCAGGAATCGGTTGAGCTCCTTAACGAGCCACCTTTTGTCCGGGAGAGCGAACGGTTCGACCAAAGGATAAAGAAGGGGTCAGAGGGGAACGTACAGAAGAACGAGCGTCGTTTGTCACGTGGACCGTACGATCCACGTACGACGATTTACTTGGACCGTTCTGGGAACGGTTCATTACCGAGCAAATAGTCCGGCGTGCCGCGATATTGATCTTATTTTCCGCTTTCCACCTGGTCGGATATTTATTTTCGCGTCCGACACCGCTGCTTCGTCGACAGCCACCGCGCTAAGTTTATGGCATCGTCAGGAATCGATGATCGGTTTAAGTTCGATTTACGGGGGACGTTTCCGGGTGAACGAGATTTTTGGGGGTTGTTTCATTCAATTTGACTTCTTTTGGGTGAGTCAGGATTAGTAACTTCTGTAGTTTTCGAGTGGTTAGATGGTAAGATTTGAAGGTTTTTCAATTTATATTTATTGTACAGAGTGATTCAAAAGATACGAATATGTTCAATATAATTATAATTTCTTTGTATTTTAAGTTTGACTATTTTTCTTCTGGTAAGATCTAATATGTGGAAGTCTTTCAATTTAGGTCGATTATACAGGGTGGTTCAAAAGTCGTGAACGTAGCAATATCACAGTTTCGTTAGTTTTTAAGTTTAACTACTTTACTGCTGGTAAATGATAAGATGTTATACGTAGAGATCTTGCAGTTGCATGTCCTAATACTACAGGGCGATACAGAAGATATGAACATGTTCGAAATAATTACAATTTCTTTATATTTTAAGATTAACTACTTTTCTTCTACTAAATTAAGATTTGATGGTCTGTCAATTTATATCGATTATATAGGGTGATTCAAAAATTGTGAACGTATCAATAATAATCACAGTTGTATTAGATTTTAAGGTTAGCTACTTTGCTGCTGCTCAACGATAAGATATTATATATGGAGTTCTTGCAGTTAGATACAGCAATACTACAGGGTGATACAGAAGATATGAACATGTTTAAAATAGTTATAATTTCTTCATATCTTAAGTTTGACTACTTTTCTTCTACTAAATTAAGATTTGATGGTCTGTCAATTTATATCGATTATATAGGGTGATTCAAAAATTGTGAACGTATCAATAATAATCACAGTTGTATTAGATTTTAAGGTTAACTACTTTGCTGCTGCTAAATGATAAGATATTATATATGGAATTCTTGCAGGTACACACACGAATACTACAGCGTGATTCAAAAAATATGAACATGTTCAAAACAACTATAATTTCTTCATTTTTTTAAGTTTGATTAATTGTCTTATACTAAATGAGGACATAATACATGGAGATCTTGCAGTTACATAGACCAATACTACAGGGTGATACAAAAGATATGAACATGTTCAAAACAACTATAATTTCTTCATTTTTTAAGTTTGATTAATTTTCTTCTACTAAATGAAGACATAATACATGGAGATCTTGCAGTTACATAGATCAATACTACAGGGTGATTCAAAAAATATAAACATGTTTAAAACAACTATAATTTCTTCATTTTTTAAGTTTGATAAATTTTCTTCTACTAAATGAAGACATAATACATGGAGATCTTGCAGTTACATAAACTAATACTACAGGGTGCTTCAGAAGATACGAACATGTTCAGTCTACTTATAATTTCTTCACTTTTTAAGTTTGATCTATACTGGCAGTATGATAGGTGCATAAAGAAGATGATAGAGGACTAAGCAGACAAGAGTAAAGGATTACCCGAGAATGTTATATCGCTGATCATTTTCCCGGTGTAAAATTAGTTGGAGAATGATATGGGATAAAGGGAAGACTTCAAGGAAGATTGATTTCAAGTGTTTAGTCAGAACTGTTTCGCAGGCGTTTCAACTTAGTTCCCAGGAACAACGTGAGCTTCGTAAATAGAGTAGGGGAGAGAGGTCTTGGATCATTTAATCAAGCACTTGCTGTATCGGAAACGCGTCAGTTCGTTGAAGCAACCAGCTTCCGGAAACTTCGAAATTCAATCAGCTAGGTCTGTGTGGTTACGACGAGTATAGTTGTTGCATCTCAATATGTATTTAATATCATATACTGTCTAAAATTATTCGATCCTCTAATCTAAACTGAGTCATGAGTCGAGAACGATCATTAACGATCAGTAATGAATTATTTATGTGATAAAGTTAAAAAAGTTGTGCAATGTACCAAAATGAAAGCGGTATTTAGCGTACCCAGCGGTCCTTTCGAAAGGGTCGTTCTATTTTTCACGCGAGGACCACCGGTTCACTGCCCTAATGAACTGCAATAACTTGCGACCGCGGTTCATTAATGGCGCACGCCGACTGCGTTTGAACTACGTTTCGTTAATTTCAGTTCCGAGTAAAATAAACGTTGATTTTCATGTAATACATCGGAATGGAAGTCGAAAGGCTTCCAACATATTTCTGAATTTTTTCAATCCGTGTACTCTGAACTTTTTAGATTCAATCATACTCGAATAATATTTCTATATTATTGCAGTCTCCAGTTATTGCCTCAAATTACAGGTCTGGTGTATATGTATGTCTATCAGAAAATTTCTACATTTCTAATAGAATAATGGAGTACTTACGGGCTAGCGATGGCCGATATTGGATCGCTCGCTGGTAGCTGAGGATCGCCGCGTCGTAATTTTTTCTGCCTTGCTGCAAGATTCCCCTGCAACAAGTAAATTAAAAAGTTTCTACACTCGGTTGTCAGTTTTAAATATACATTGCATGCCTGTCACTTTTAATGGTCTCGTGGCGAACAACCATAATCGTTCTAAGCAGCTAAAACATTAATCGCAAGAACATGTACGTTTACGTACACATAAATAGTTCACTTATCGAGAATGTTAAGTTAGAACCTTTTTTTTTCTCAGAACATTGCTTGGAAGTAACTCGTAAATTATTCATAATGTTTCTCTGCGATCGATACGCGGCTATCGCGCCTCGAGTAACGTTTACGACTGTCACAGAACGAAAGGGCTAATTGGAAATCCGCGGACACGTGAATTTCCCATATTTTTTTTCCGCTGCATTTCGAATCCGGCTTTTGAAAGTTCGTTTTTCAACATCCGGTAATCTGGAACCTCTGTCGTTCGGGAAAATCGCGAAACACGTCGACGTAGCTTTGTCGAGTCGTGATTAAAACGCGATCCGAAACGCGTTCGAGTGTTTTTTCATTCGCGGATAACAATCTCTCGTACTCTCTCGTATCCCTGGACGACGAACGATTAATCATCCTTCGAACAATGTCACTCTCAGAAACGATAAAAATATTACTTGTCAACCTGATGACTTATCGCGGAAAAGTCGAGCGGCGTAACGAGCGAACACGGCCACTGCACAGCGGCCGGGTGTCCACGGGGAAGGGTGCCAATAAACGAACTTTATAACGGTTATACGGGGCCCCGCGTGCCGCGATGGCACATATTTTAGGAAAAAAATTCATTTTAACGCGCCGGTGATTAATCTTTTCTCGAACGTTGTCGCTCAACGGACGATGAAAATGTCGCTTGTCACAGGGGCGCCACAACTAAACAAAGACCATTTACTGACACCTTTGATTTTGCTAATCGCGTTAGGTTAATGTGGTTCAATATATATAATTTATCGTGACATTTATTATGGTCCTCACTGAAATTTATCTTAATATAAAATACAATGAAATGTTAGGTAGTTCTTGACAGATATATGAGGTCCTTTAATTCATCAAAGATCACGTATGTACATACTAGGTACTCATGTATATGATAAATTCTTTCTGAACATATTAATTGTTAAAGTTATTTAACCTAATATAAGTAACAATGAAATGTTAGATAGTCACACATACATGTGTGTGTACATACGTAAACATACACACATGAGTATGTTTAACTTGTCTTTAAATTCATCAAAGATCACGTATGTACATACTAGGTACTCATATATATGATCAATTCTTTCTGAGCATATTAATTGTTAAAGTTATTTAACCCAATATAAATAACAATGAAATGTTAGATAGTCACACATACATGTGAGTGTAAATACGTAAACATACACACACGAGTATGTTTAACTCGTCTTTAAATTCATCAAAGATCACGTATGTACATACTAGGTACTCATATATATGATCAATTCTTTCTGAGCATATTAATTGTTAAAGTTATTTAACCCAATATAAATAACAATGAAATGTTAGATAGTCACACATACATGTGAGTGTAAATACGTAAACATACACACACGAGTATGTTTAACTTGTCTCTACATTCATCAAAGATCACATATGTACATACTAGGTACTCATATATATGATCAATTCTTTCTGAACATATTAATCGTTAAAGTTATTTAACCCATTATAAATAACAATGAAATGTTAGATAGTCACACATACATGTGAGTGTACATACGTAAACATACACACACATGAGTATGTTTAACTCGTCTTTAAATTCATCAAAGATCATGTATGTACATACTAAATACTCTTGTATAAAATAAATTATTTTTGGACGTATTAATTGTCAAAGTTATCTAACCTTGAAAGTATTCTCCAAGAGCATAAACGTCAGAAAATAGCAAAGAAGTAAAGTGGAGGTAATTGGACTTAAAGAGTTGTGTCTAAGAAATTGACAAGTGGAAGTGAACCGATTGAAGACGCACTCTTCTTGGAGTACGAAGATGGTCGCGAAGGATCGATCGAGCGATCACGTTGCTAATCGAGCATGGCTGTGGAGAGGGGGGTGAGAAGCGCTATGGGGTGGAGAATCAGGCGTGCGTGTCCTGTGCTCGATCGATAATTCATGGTTTCATAACCGTCAATCGTTCATGGTTAATGTTTCCGAGTGTGGAATATTTTATTAGGGTTGCTGTAACAGTTCAATAGGGTTCGCTTTCTCGAACTTAATGTGCGTTGTATAATGCAGGAGATTGTTAAGCAACACTCGAGGAGCTAATAGAGCAATTATTTTCGTGGTACAAAGTATAGTGGAAAATAAAATAGAACAGTAAAATGATGAAATAGTAAAAGAATAAATGACAATAATAATATGGTAAAAGAATAAATGATAATGATAAAATAATAAAAGAAGTAAAACAGTAGAATATCCGAAATAATGGAACAGCGGAATAAAGCAGTCAAGAATCTGTCTCTAAAAGAAAATGCATACAGAAGACGTTTCCTGAAATGAAAGAATAAGACATGGACGTAGATAGAATATTTGTAATCCGTAATCCCGATAAGGGAAATTTGGGTGAATTAAAAGAACATTAAGAGGTAAGTATTCACTCCGAGCTCAAAGAGGAATACTGAACCAGCGCTGCTGGAAAGTACGGTCTCACTAACAATAGTAATCATTCAGAAAGTACGTCGAGGATCGCGATCGCAAAGTACGTGCCTCGTTCGCGTGGAATTTCATTATTTTAACCGGATAGAAAAATCCGATTCGCATCGTTTCAACTTGTTCCGGCCGCCGTAAAAAAGTTATACTAATGACACGCTTTGTGAGCGTTCGAGCGACTGAAACGAGAAAAAAAAGGATGAGAATAAAACGGGAAATACTTCGCGGTCCAGAAGCGACGGACCAGAAGGAGACACGGAGAATAAGGGAAAAAGATAAGGATATTTCCTTTCCGACCACAGGAAAGATTTTCCTGCACGCTAACGAGACGCCACTCTGCGTTCGTTAATTTTCAAGATGAATATTCGTGATATATAACGGACAGCTTTCCTTCTTTCTCTACGTATTAGCGTCACATTCGCTTTCATTTGTAATCTTGAATCTAATTTGACAATTACAGGAAGTTGGAAATTTGAGAATACCTTGAGGGGTTTAGAGATTTAAGGATTTGGAAATGTAAGAAATTAAGAAGAAAAGGAAGGGAAGTATAATATTTGAAGAAGACAATGTGCTGAGAATGCAATTCACAGAAAAATCGATGCGTGGAGAACACAATATGGAGAATTTATGTGTGAGATATTCAATGGGTCGAAGGTATGATGTGTGAGGAATTCAACGCTTGGAGAACTCCACCCATAGGGAACTCAGCGCACGGAGAACTCAAGGCATGGGGAATTCAACGCGAGAGGAACTCAACGCGTGGAGAACTCAACGCATGGGGTACTCAACGCGTGGGGAACTCAACGCGTGGAGAACTTGACGCGTGGGGAACTCAACGTGTGGAGAACTTGACGCGTAGGGAACTCAACGCGTGGAGAACTCAACGCATAGGGTACTCAACGCGTGGGGAACTCAACGCGTGGGGAACTCAACGCGTGGGGAACTCGACGCGTGGAGAACTCGACGCGTAGGGAACACAACGCTGGGAGAACTCAACGCATGGGGAACTCAACGCGTGGGGAACCCAACGCGTGGAGAACTCAACGCGTAGAGAACTCAACGCGTAGAGAAGTCAACGCATGGGTAACTCAACGCGTGGGGAACCCAACGCGTGGAGAACTCAACGCGTAGAGAACTCAGCGTGTAGAGAAGTCAACGCACTATGAATTCAACGCATCGTAAATTCAACGTGCAGAGACCTCAACTCTTATAGTACACAATACGTGGACCACAACACATAACGATCTACCATATGTTCACACCTCAGTCATATGACTAATACGTCTATCGCCTCCAGATGTACTGAATTAAAAAATAAGAATGATTTCTCGGCGAGATGAAACGTGGTAACGCATATTGTATCAATAGCAGTAACAGATTCCTGGATGGCGCGATGTTTCTCGACAGGAAAACCACTCGAACAAACGTGTTTCGGGCAATTTCTGTCGCGGATAGAATCGCGTATTGTTCCCTGTGTGCTCGTTTTCGCGTAAGCTGTTTCGATTCGGACGCGGGTTTCGAATCGCGCTTATTTCGAGTGGTTGCACGTCCGCGGGATGACGGCCGCGTAGGGTTGCGGATAAACGGTCGGCGGATCGATTGTTAAAATAAATACATTGTCGAAACGTATTGTTCGGCCCTTCGGTCTATTATTTGCCTCGTCGCTCGGCCGGCGTAACGAGCCATGTAACGACATTTCGCAACAAGCACTCGCGGCTTTGTGCGTTCGCGAGCCTCGATGACAAAGCGAGCTTCGAATATTCCTGGCGGTGCACCGCGTCGTGTCGCTCGTCGAGAATTTTATCCCCTGGGTGAGAGATACGTTGGCACGACAAAAGCCAGGGAATTCTGAAAAACGATACGAAAATGGAGGAAAAACGAAAGCTAGAGGGGAGGGATGATATTTCATCGAGAGAGACGCGGCTGGGAAATATCTGTCCGCTTAGGGTGTTGACCGAATAAAATAAAGATGAATACGAAGCAGTTTGTCGCGTTTGACGTGTTCCCTTCAATCTCGATATTAGGCTTTTCACACTGCAACACCGGAGGTCAAATATTTTTCATCCTTTTGTCACCATAGCGTAGCTTCTCTAAGGGTCTTTCACCTGCACATTTTTTTATCAAAAGCTTATCGAACATTGCTTCAATAAATTATTAACTACATCGAGCAAAAGGGTATATTTTAATAATTAAACGAAAAATTGCTATCGTATTAACGACAGTTATTTATTTGCGAATTCAGTGCGCAGTTTTAAACTCCTGCCATTTAATTATTAAGCACGCATCAAAACTACGTGGACATAAACTGACAGTCCGAAATGTAATCGGCAAACGCACGTCC